GTAATTAATTAATTTAATTAATTAACTGAAGCATGTTCTTAATTCGATATACGGGATTAAGCCGAACATTTTTGTAAGACTCGATTACATGTAACTGATGTTTTAGTTAATTTTGCCATTAACACAAATAATGACAATCTCCCGTTGTAACTATCGACAGTACATAGTTACCTGAGAAAGTATCTCTCGACCTAAGGGTGTATCTCCCTCTCTCGATGATTAAAAGTAAACATGAAAAAAAGCAATTTAACCGAGTAGATGCGCGCGGGACAATGGTAAATAATGTTGTGAAAATATGGATTGTTTGTTGATAGGAAAACAATTGCCTAAGAATCAAGATACTTGGAGATTGCTATTATTGTGTGTCTGGCTTACCAGAACCTCGTTCTGATCATGCACAGTGTTGCGTTGAGATGGGATTGCACATGATCACAGTTATTAAGTGAGTAAGATTTCTTTTTATAGTATTGCAGAGACTACTTCAATCCTGCCCTGCTTAACGGTTCTGTTGTTTACATCAAATCTATTTGAAGCTGTTTGAATTCCAATATTTTCTTTATCTTTAATGATGCGCTGGTTGTCCGCACCACGCATGCGCGAAATATGCCCCCCCCCCCCCGACCGAAGGATGGCGACTTTGAGTGGTCCGCAGATCAACAAGTACACACAACGACAAGTACACGCTAATAATTAACTAGATAATTCCTGTGATAATTTGAACTCATTGAATAACATTCCCATACTGAGTCGAAGTCGGCGTTTAGTGCACATCGCGCCCATTCGTGCTCTATTTTTTTACGCAATATAACTAAATACCACAGTAGCTTGGTTGAACAACGACAAAGTGGAGCAGCCAATTGTCCAATGACAGCCATTCGACTGTACCTAGATTACCTTTGATATTAAAGATGTAATGGTTATATGTTCGCTGTTTTACTGTACACATTACTCAGTCTCGCATAATCTCTATGGAAACGTGAAATTATACGTGTATGCTCCACCAAACATTTCACAATTCTGATTGAAACCTATAATTACTGTGCACTGATATACACATTATTATGAGTAATACGCCATTTTTGGTATATGTTCACAGAAGTGTCAGACAGAAGACGGGCGTCAACTTAGACATGCGCATTGGTATACATACGGGGTCTGTCCTGTGCGGGGTGCTCGGACTTCGAAAATGGCAGTTTGACGTGTGGAGCAATGACGTCACAATGGCTAATCACATGGAAGCTGGCGGAGTTCCCGGGTATGATTGATTGATGATTGATTGATTCATTCATTCATTCATTCACTCATTCATTCATTTTAACGTTTTTAACATTCATATTCCTTTAAATTTGCAGGAGAGTTCACATTTCAAAAGAGACCTTATCATATTTAGGTAACGACTATGACACGGAGCTAGGCAATGCTCACGAGAGGGACACGTATTTGAAGTTAAAAGACGTTGACACCTTTCTGGTAATCGGAGACGAACCAAAGGTAGTTATTTTATTTGGTGCGAAGCAGTGGACGTTGTCATAGATACTACAAAACCGCAATAGATACTCACAATAATTGACATTTATCCTATGTATAATACAGCAATTCTGACATGTTGTTGTATGAAGTATGAATACTGTACAGCAAATGTGGGACCATTGCATTGTCAGCGAATGCTCTTATTTTATGAATGTTGCTATTTGAAGACACACGGCCATTAGCAATCACTCAATTGAACCATGTTTAAATGCGATTTGTTTTGAATACGCACCATTCTCTGTCTGTATATTATCATTTTGCGATTGTCGCGGCATGGTAGTTTCCGTGAAGTAGTAGGAGTAAATATACTGCAGAATACCCATTCGTCTACTCCCCGATGCTAGTTGAATGGCAGTGTTCCCTGGTTATCCCGAACAAAATGAGTCGATGCTTTAATAATATAAAGACATATACGTTAAGTTCTTGACACATAAATTCGCTGTTAATAACTTCATGGGAAATGTTCTACTGATATATTCTCTTGTATGCACACAGAGAACGTCCGCCTCTGAACGAGCACGGGTCCTGGAAGATTTGACAGTTCCATCGCTGATAAAGACAGCCTCTGCTCCGGCTGAGGCGGCCACGACAGATGACCGTACTGCTGCAGAAGGTAACACCCCCAATGTACCTGATTCGAACGCGACACAAGAACGAGCAAAGTCACTGTCGGAAACATCGTGGAGTGCGGAGCTGCCATTTGATAATATAATGTCTCAAGCACCGAGGGTAAGCGTCAAGGGTTGATGTCATCGCACATTCATTCCTTCTAGCCAGTGTGTACATCTTGGTTTTTAAATTTACATTGTTTTTAGGAATTTTTTTTTACTAAATTATTTGCAGTGGTCAGTGACGGACGCCATTGGGCTACTGCCATTTCATTTTGGCAACGTTGTATCTACATCGAAGAAAACAGAAAGAACAGAGCACGATGAAATCAACCGCCTGGTGGCGCATGCCATAGAAATTCGCTCCAGCGACACACTACGTAAAGAGCACATCCGGCGCGTAACGCTGAGGTTTAAGGACAAGGACATAGAGAAAAACGTGAGTTGTATATAATGACGAGTTCACAATTGTGTTATCGAACAGATGTGTATAATAGCATGTACTATCAACGTACGACGTCTTTTATCAGCTGTCAATAACCGCACTTTCCTATGGTCATTTATTGCTCTCTCTTTTAACAGTTTTCTATGATTCGTGATGACACATTCAAGTCCAACATGGTGTGTGCTCTTATCATTCTCATCTTCACCATGGCAACGCTGTTGCTGATGACGCCAAGGTATTTTGAACTGCGTTGTTTCCGAGTATAATAGTTTGCTGAATGTACCCAAGTGTAAATTCTTAGTAGGTAATTTGAGTGGCAGTCACTTTAGTGCTTGCCTTCCGTGGTACATGTATATTCTGAAATGCTATTAAAAACCTGTCGTGATTATGGTATACCATTTTTGATAAGTGTCAGAATATATAGCTTCAGAACCAGCAGTTCGATTTGATATCCCATTAAGAGAATTTTACAAATCAATCTCAGTTATGATATGTGACATATGAACATAAGTACAACATCTGTATCCTGGCTGGTTGATTTCAATCACGTGTCACGGTGAAGTGGTCACATGTACTCATTTTGAAAACTGCCACCATACGATAACGACATAATGTTGCTATTACGTATTGACGCACGAGTGTTGCCGTGCGTGCTTGGCATGTATCGACGTATCCTTAGCCGGTCAATGTACGGGGATACACCTCACACATGCCATATGTTCTGACACGTAGTTGCATATAAATTATGTACATTGCATATTAATAATAGAATAATAATATAGAAATATTGACCGGAGCCAAAGTCGTTATACAGATTTGTCGACCCTCTGTGAGTATTGTTTACCTCGGCAAATGATGCTCACGGTTATTTTTCATCACGAATTCAATGGTTCGTATTTATTTATATTCCATAATCTTTTCCGACATTAGTGTCACATTTAAGTATTGTGTAGGTATCAATTAGCTAAGGACGACTGTCTGACTTTTCAAAAGCCGCAGTCCGACTTTAATAAAACGCAATATTACAACACATTTCTGGTTAAATGATCAATTAAATGAAACCCACGTGTTTGTACGATACAAATACGAGCAATAAAAATACCTTGATGAAATAAATGAAAGCTTTAAACGTCGGTTTACGACGTCAACAAACTCTGGAATGCCGAGCGTAATTCAAGTAATCAGCGCCAGCTTGTACACGGTGCGGCGACTACGGTCGAACCGACCGATATAATCGTATTGTTTAATGATTATTATCTCCTGGTTACAAGTATTCACATCGAACATAACTCGGCCCAAGTAATACAAGATACCTTAGTGAGCCGAAAATATTACAGTTGTTCGACCTGTTCATAAATTACAGGCGATTCTCCGGGGAAACGCCGACAAACCTCAGCCGTGAATCGGCATTTCTTAGATCAATCGTAACTTCCACTCAAGCGCACAAGCTGCATATTACGTCTTTGACAGCTAGAAAGTCAATGCTCGATTAGATCGACCGCTAAATGCGTTAATCTGATTGGCTATTAAGGATGTTGAGGTATATTAATAACATTTATCTAATTTTGTTATTCACTGAAAGTAACAATATTTGAAATGCACCATTAATATCGCCGAGGAAATGTGGAATAAATATCTCACATAAATCACCTGTTATTATTCCTTGCCTAATTGTAATTTATTTACAAATTATGTTGTGTGTACCTTTTATAAAAATAGTACCGTTGCAAGAATGTTTTGAAAAATGGTGTTTGGTTAGCTAGATAACGTTCATACTTATTATTATTTATATATTATGAGGTCGATGCGGCGACGTACTGTCTGAGTGCATACTTTAAGGTATCCTCGTA